GGTCCCTTCCGACCCTAGAAACTATGAAACTATAATAAATGAAAAAAGAGAAAATATCTTGTAAAAAGTGTTTTCTTCCTTGAGGAGATTACAAGTGTGCTTGATAAAAGTAACTGAAGTTGTCATGACGCAAGGTCTTTAACTTAGTATTGCACAACATCCAGATGAAAATATTTGCACTATACAATATTATTAAACCATGTAGTTAATGTCATAACAAGTAGTCAATGGGGATCAAATAAGAGTATTTCTAATTGGACTTTCATTGATAGCTACTAGGCCTGAACTATTTAAAATTTTCAACAATGATTTGGAAATAAATATAAACTTGTTGCTGATAAAATTGTTCACTAGCACAAAAAAAGCCAGAGTGATAACTAATGATACAGCATGATCTGTAGCCCTTGGTAAACTGGTCCATTAAAACAAACTATACTTTAATAAAGGCAGATGCAAAGTTTTATATTTAGGATTGCAGAGCGTAGATCTTGCCTAAGGAATGGGGAACTGTATCCTGGAAAGTAGAGACCATGAAAAGGATCTGGCAGACAAGCAGTTTACCACGAGCACCCAGACAACGCAATCCTTGGATGTACAAACAAAGGTGAAGTGAGAAAGTAGAATGGTGATTTTGTCTCTATACACAGTATTGATGAGACTGATACCAGAATACAGCATATAGTTTTGGTGTCCACAGTTTAAAATTTGTCAAGTATTGAAGAGGGGACAGAAATGGATCACAAAAATAATCCAGGGGAGAAAACCATAATAAGAAGGAATGGTTAATGGTTAAAGCTAAAGCCAGAAAATTCAACCCAGAATAATCTGAGCAAAAAATATTCACAAGAGCATGCCTAGCTGTTGAAAGAAACAATGAAGGGAAGTACTGGATTCTCCTTCTCTCAATGTCTTTGACTCCAGACTGTGTGACCTCCTGGAAGGTATGCGTCAATCCAAGACATATTATGTTTTAGTCACTGAGATAAGTGATAACTGGATGACGTTTAAGACCATGCGATAAAGAGTATGTCAGACTTGATTATGGAATGGTCTTTTCTGGCCTTAAACTCTGTGAAGCTATGAATTCTGCAGTTTTTCAAAACACATCCCATTAGCCTGAGATTAGAAATTTGACACCAGGAACATATATTCAGCAAAAACAGTACATTGAGTTACAAATGCCATTGTACTAGCTCAATGAAAAGATCACAGCACTGAGTTCAGGACAAGAATATTTTAAGGACCGCTTACTGCTTTTTCTGCTTCATTTCCAGTAAGGCGAGATGTTCAGCATTTTATGGATTAGAACAGTGCTTCATTTAAACACAATGGGCCCAAATCATCCCAAAGCATTCATACCAAGGTCAAATTCTGCCCTGAGTCACACCTCCTATAAGCAATGGGGTTGACTAGGTATAACTGAAAGGATAATTAGCAGCTCCCCTACTTTTAGCAGATATAAGATTATAGCAGACCTAAGTTTATTAGAAGTGGGATGAAAGTAATGGCACGAAGTGCAAGGTTATGCACTTGGGGACTTATAACAAGGATTTCTGTGGTAAGAGGGGAGTTAATTGGCTGGAAATGAGTAGGTTAGCCAATCACAGAATGATTCTGAGCTGCCAGTGATTCAGCTTTCAAAAAAAGGCAATATAACTCTAAGATGTATCACACAAGGTATTTCCAGTAGAGATACAGAAGTACAATTGCCATAGTGCAAAACTCATCTAGAATACTTTGGTCAGTGCTGGTCATCATTGTTCAGAGAAAAGGAACTCAAACTGGAACAGGAGAAAAGCTACCAGGATGATCAGAAGATTACAGAGCATGGCTTATTTGGCCTAAAAAACAAAGGATGAAAAGGAGATATTATCTATAATTATATCAAATATTATCTATAATTATATCAAAAGGGGTGAACA